CTTCGTGAAGCTGAGTAAGCGGAACATCGGCAGAGGAGGCAGGACGGGGTCTCCCCCTGCAGCCGGGGCCTCCCGCAGGGAGCAGCTCTCCGGTGATGTGAGGATTCCTTCAGTGGAAACAAGGTACAGACAATCTAATTCTTCGTGATTTTAGATGCTTGTAATGTCGTTACAGGAGGAGACGGGGAATCCTGTTGTCAGCCGAGCAAAGAGAAGATGCAGAAAGTGGCGGTCGTGTCACTGAGTGCGATTTGAAATGCTACAAAACAGAAGAGCAGAGTCGTTTTATCTTTATATCAGACGGGCCGCCAAGGTGAATACCTGATGTCTGTCTGTGTTCTAGTAGCTCCACAACAGACGCTCTGTTCTTTAACTTCCTTACATTAACGTGTGCATTTGTAGTCTTGGAGTTAATCAAGCATTCTGGGTTTTCTTCTTCCTACGTGTCAACACTAGATTTTCATTGTAAGAACTTTTCTCTTTTTTACCACTGGAACACTTTTATTATAAATCCTCGAATTCAGCTTTCTGGCATATCCACGATAATGAGGCACCACTGTCACCACAGAGTTTTGGTAATCTTAATTAACTATTGTGTTCTAAATCTCTGCTCTATTCCATTTTCTCCTCTTCAGCTGGAGAGTGAGATTTAAAATTAGAAACTCCTCAATATCTCCTGCACAAGGAAAATAACGTTCACCTGAAAGTTTTAAACATCACTTGTGATCTTTTACCTGTTTTATGAATCAGGTTCAACTCTTGATGTCCGATGGCTGCGAGTCAGTGAGAGAGAAACATCCAGTAAATTTAGACGAGAATCTTTTTAATGTGTTTGAGTCAGTGTCGATCCCACACATCCTCACTGCTGCAGCCCACTGAGACGAAGACCACGAAGAGGAAGTGCCGTCAGCTCTGAGCTATATTTGTCCTCCTGTATGTCCACATGTATGAACGCCCTTTTTAAATCAATTAAAACCATTTCAAGGGGCTGAAATTGACTTATTTCTGTCATTAGAGACATTACAACGGATGTGATCTGATTCACCGGCTGCAGCTAACGAAGACGGTGGACGTACACGGAGTGAAAGCGTCGGTTCAGACTTAACGTGTCTCCGACAAAAGCTAAAGTCTGACCCTGATTACATCGTCCACACGGAGCAGTTTGTCCAACATTTGAATATACATCAGCACTTTTTCTCTCAGACAAAGAACTTGGGTTGGACAAGGATGGACAATGCAGCGTCACTGGGATTTTCCAGAAAAAATACTTGTAGGAACCAAGTAATTGGTACACTTACTTTAAAACGTCTTCCTATCAGAACTGTAAAGATGCTCTAATTGTCCTATATCTGATAGTAAACTCTATATTTATAGTATATTGATCCATATTCTATGTTTATGTGTACATATGATATATATAAATACACATCTGGCTTATTACAACACTATTGCTACTGTATTATTACTGCTTTTATTATAATTAAAAGGGCACGCTGTGCTATTATTATCATTACTGCTATGCCATCACTATAGATTATTATTAGTATATTGCATGTACACTTACAATAATACTTACTAATAACTAAACCAAAGTGATTTTATTGCCTAATCTGAACCACAGACAGACGGGACCGTGGACGTGAACCCTGCTCCCACTAAGATTTCACTGAGGCTAAGACAGGATTCCTTGGTAAGTAAATATACCTTCAGACTCTGAGCTGTAATAACATAAATAAATGTTTTTTGTAATTAGAAACGTGTGTTGAACACAGAGGATCAGAGAACTGTACTGATTACATTAACACTGAGCTGAGATCTGATTGAATGACACTTACTGCTCAGTGGAAGTAGCATCAAGTCTCTGGTACTCAGAATAAGTTTTCATCAGGACATATTAAAATATTAATTGAGCGTAAACAACCATTAACTGATTTAGATTTTCATAATACCGTATTCTGTTTGACTGACAGATACCAAGATAGCTCTTGTTGCCTGCAGCTGTAACTTTTGTCCCCAAACATAATCTGAGCGTCACTGTAACGTCTTTGGCTCAAATAGGTGCTAGTTTCCCTCCTCCAGCAGTGAATTGCTCGGTGGGATGGATGTCAGCGTGTGAATAAACAAAGCTCATGTTAAAAATCCCTGTGAGACAACATGTCACACGGTGTTATTTCATAAACAGTCCTTCGGGAACATCAAGGGTCTGAAAACTCAAACAGGCTCTCACGGCAGTCATTTCACTTTGTAAGAGAAGCTTTTGTTTAAAAATTAAAAAGAGAATTATCAAACTGCTGTGAAGGATTCAATTAAATCAAGTACGAGTCTATGGGCTGTTTGTCCTTCTACCATTCATTAGTTCCACTTACTTGATTAATTCCGAGGTAAGAAACTCTTTTACCTTAAGTGTAAAACTGCCCCCCTACGCTTTTGTGAATGTTTTCATGGTTTCTCAGTTTTATAAAATATTGGCTTCAGTGCAAACACAACATTTGTTTCACTGAGCATTAACGAACTCATTTATAAACATACAACCAGCATCTATGATATATGTGATCAGAATGATGTGGTCAGAAATCAAGGGCCTGAGACCAAAACGTAGAAGATGTGGGAGGGTTTCTCTCCAATGGATCGAGCAGCAGAACTGGACCCATTCCTGCTTTCAGCATGACGCATGGTTAAACTGGGTCTCATCCAGAAACCATCTCAACGCACAGTCCTTGTCTTATACGTCCTAAACTGCAACAGAGCTAAGATGTAGATGTTGGTTACAGAAGTTAAAATACAATATCAGACCATAACTTGACCATGACCATAATGACCATAATCAAAACAGACAAAATCTATATGATCACACGGTAAAATGAGGTAAAACAAAGTTCACAGGACACAAGGCGGAGCCCTGAGGGACCCCACAACTGATACAGGATAAGAAATGATCCATATTTACTGAAAAGTTGTTGTGAGATAAATACGTCCGTAATTAACAGGCAGTTAATCAGACTGATGTATTCAACTATGTCCGAAGAGAGACGTGAGGTTTACAGAAAGTAAACACCCCGAGAGTTCAGAGGATATTTATTCTTACCCTCTGAATCTAAATGACAGCAAACTTAGAAACATGTGACATTTTTAAAGCATTGATGTGTTGAACCTTGTGTGTAGATACCGTAGGATGATGGATTAATGAATAATGCTCCCACACACTCACAATTCTAACTGTTGTGTTAAACCCGGAAACATTTTTTTATCTCCAAAAGCACAAAAACTATTCTTCTGTTCACATATTTCCTATTTCAAGAAAGTCAGTGTGTCTATTTGAGCAAATTTGATTCAGTTTTTATTTTATCTTATTATTTTCTTTGCTCGAATTGTTTCCATCAGACCAGCGGCCGTTTGCTCAACACGCCTGCGATGATATAAACTTTGTACAGATGAGCTTTCACTGTAGATGTAAAACCCTCTCTGCATCGTACACTGTAACCAGCACACCAGCATGAGTCCACAGAACTTCAAGTAAACTTCCTGTTCCTGCTGCGTAAACCTCCCATTCTTCCAGAGCCAGGATCCATAAGATCTAATTAGAGACATGATTACTCAGAGAACACTCAATTACAGTTACTACTGAGGCAACTGCAGCTCTGGCAGCAGAGTAACAAAACAAAAAAAAATTCAGTGGTTTGAATAAGTGCTTCAGTAAACAAATTAAATTGGAAATTGGTAGATACGGTATTTGAGAGAGGAGAATCATTTTCTCTGCTCGGGTGCGCAGCAGACGAAGAGGAGCAGAGCCTTATAGAAAATAACCTCCATAAATCAAGATGGCCCGATGCCGGCTCTTCTGTCCAACACTCCTGCCAAGACTGGCTCTCCGATGCCCACTCTCCTCCATACCACCCATTCAGAAAGATGGATAGGAAGCGTTATACCCGCTGACAGCAGCCGCGGCTGACAGATCCCTCACTTCATCACCAGCAGCACGAGCGCATCGGAGGACAGACGCCCCCGAAACTCATATTCATTGTGAATTAACTCAAAATTGGCTTCTTATTAAAATCAGATAAGAGTTAGTTATTGCTGCCCACCTCCAATATGGTGGACGTTATGTTGAGGGATTATTTATCTGGGAACGCATCAATTCCACAGTGTTTTCCCACTTGAAGACTTTAAACAGCTGCAACATGAATCTATTCTGATCTAGAGCAACACGATAAGAGGAGATTCCACTTCAGACAAAACTGCCACTGGAATAAGAAACTGAAAATATTGAATTTTGAAGCTGCATTACCAATGAGGCTCTTTTTTTTTTTTAAAATACAATGAATATTTTAGTACTTCATTCAGGTGTGCGAGTCTCAGGCCAAAGTGTTATAGAAGAGGCTTCATTATAAAATCAATATATTTTGTAAAATCTACAAATATATGATGTTGAAACGATCTCCTGCATCGGTCCTCCATGTTAATGGATGGAACATGGACCATACATGTTCCCTTAGAGCAGGAGAGTAATAACAGTGTCCCAGTAATTTGTGTGGAAACCCAATTTTTCATCACTAGATCTTATTTTTTTAATTTTTTTTAAATCCTTCAAATTTGGCAGGTTGGTTGACGACACATTCTTCTGTGGTGTGACAAACTCAAAACACATATTTATTGCTGCCGTACACAGACTTTAATGCGTTACGAGATGAAAATAGATGTAAATCTCACGCAGACTGTGGGATGTGTCGTTGTTCCACAGCCTCTTTGTGCCAGTGCGAGTGTAGGCAGACGTGAGAGTAGGCTGATGCACAAATGTTCATCTTTGTTTGATTGAATCTAAGAAACATATTGAAAGACTGTCAATTGATTTGTATTGATAAAAGTAAAAAAAAACAATTTGCTCGTTTCAGCGACTGTGAGACTTGAATTGCAATTTAAGTAACGGAGGGAAAGTTTTTCTGAACATTTCTGGGCTGTGGATTTAAAGACTGCAAATCATCGTCATCGTCACAGTGGCTCACCTTGGCTTTGTTAATGGTGCAGTGTAGTGCATTGTTCTCTTGGTCGTACTGCAAACTGAATTCCAAGGTCCCCAATGTGGCTGCAGAGACAAAGAAGAAAGACAGAAATTAGTTGCTGGAAAAGATTTCTTCATGCTGCACAAACAACTTTGCTGGGAAGAGAAGAAATCCAGTCCGTCCAGCTCGCTAATGGTCCTCGTGGGAAATTCCCTGACGTTAGCATCACAGACGTAGAATTAAAGCCTCAATAATCACCACAGAAATGGACATTTACGAAAATGAATGATCAGGGTTTTGAGGTTTCTCAGTCTTTGAGTCGGGAACAGACATCAAAAGCACAGTTCGTAGTCTGAGTGGTTATCAGGAGAATTGAGGAAACCTCGGCCGGACTCTTTCGCTCTGGCACAGTGGTCAGACAACACCGAGAGTCGCAAATCAAGTCTACAACAGATCAGAGTCCTGACCTGCTGATCCTTACAGCACCACACGCGACTGAAAGGAGAAAGTTAAAGTAGCCTAAAGAAAAGTTTGCATGATAATAATCCTCCGGGGAAAATTCCACATCAATCCACATCAAAATGAGATATAAAAAAAAAAAATGATAAAAGGAACAAAACCACTTGATTTCATGTGTGGATGGAAAATAAAACACGGAGGTGGTGTAATATCTTTAAGCTCTTTACAAAGACACGCGACTTATACTGTTCGCTTTTCATTTGAATATCAAAGTGTGAAAAAAAAAAAAAAAAAAAAGAAAGTGCAACACAAAGCTTCAGAGCCTGTGAGGCTGTTTGAAGCCCACACGTCCTGGTTCTCATGTTGAGCTTGTTGAAATGTTTTCATCCCAACAACATTTCATTAGTCCAGGAGACGAGCGTCCCTCGTCACTTGGCATTTTGAAAGGACAAAGGACGAGATGATGCCATAAAGTGTTACAGTCAGCCGCTCAGCACCGCGGAGCTCGAACAAGACGTAGAGCAGCATCTGATACTTTTTTTAAAACGCAGGGTTCAATACAAACAGGGGGTGAAGTGGGTTTCACTTTGAGCCTGGGATTCAAACCACCGGAGGAGGGAAATAAACCCCTGATTAGATGAAGCTCCAAAAAAACAGCAAAAACATGAGATTCAACTGAAAAATTACATAAACTAATAATTAGAATTAAAAGATATATAAATTTGTAACGTGGCTGCTCTTTAATTATGTCAATTAAATTTATTTTCATTTTGACATCTTAATATCGCCGCTGGATGGTTTCTCATTCATCTGCTGCATTTGATGCTCTTTGATGCTCTTCGCTCTATATCCACCTTTTACTGTCAGTTTCTTCCAGAAATACTTAATTTCCTAATCATGCATCAAAGTAATATTGCTTTGGCAAATCTAATCGCACCAGATCCAAGGATGAGATAAATCGTCCCACCTCAGGAGTCCTGACGGTGCTGTGTGGAAAATAGAAAGTCGGCCTTCCAGTAATTTGCACAACATGAATGGAATAAATTACAAATGTTTAAAATCCAATCATCCACTTTAGTTGGTGAAACTGATCATTTCGTTCTTTTCATCTGAGATTTCTGACACAACTGTTGGAATTCGTTAACTCAGACTTTCAGTTCAGCAGGAGACTGAAAGTAAACATGAGTCTGCAGAGCGTCCAGGTCATGTTACGGCAAAACTAGGTGTGTGTTTGTATATTACACGTGACGATATATTCATTTTAAAAGTGGAGAACCCTCAGCTCAGTGTGAAGCGTGGACATAGAAGCGGGAGCGACAGAGCTGAAGAGGTCAGAAAGGCGGCAGACAGCAGCTCCAGGCCTGAAGGACGAAGCTCCGGGGACGAGCTCAGAGAAAGTTTCAAGGCTGTGATGAATAAACGTATCATGGACTTGTGTTTAATGACAGATGCTGCGGGGGAGGTTCTATTTATATTCTAGAATATATTTTACCGTGGCTTTATGACAAGCAGTTAAGAGAGGGAGTCCTGGATCAGGCCTCAGGCTCTCCATCAACATTACTACTGTAAACCTTGACACACACACACACACACACACACACAGATCTAAATACCACAACAGGTCGCTTTGTGTGTTTCCTGTAAAATAATGGCGACAGAAGACGAATCTGTAAAAGCTGTGACTCCCTTTTCTCTGCAGATTTAGATTTAATTGGCCAATATGTTTCACAGAAAGACGAACAGGTTCATTCTTAAGAGGAGCGTTGTTTCCTACATGAAATTTAATACATTAATATTTAATCCACAGTAACCGAGCCTCAGTTTGTCTGTGTTCGGGGGAACAATAGCTGCAGCTGCATGTGGGTTGCTGGGGTTCAGCCCAGTAAGATGCATCAGTGCTGGGAGCCCAACAGCAGAATAATAAAGTGGAGTCACTTCATTTTTCTTTTTTTGAGCCATATTTCAGTCTTGCTGCGGAGCCTAATTTCAGTGAGAATGTGATGTGATAGATCCAATTCAGTCTCAAGTGACTCCTTCACTCTGCCGAAAGCAATAATTACCACATTTTCCGGAAAGAAACACGTGTTCTTTGCAAAGAAATGACTAAATAACCTTATTTGTGTTTAGAGTTTCAACAGGAGCCAATTTGCAGAATATACAAACGAGGCTGGAAGTAGCAATGTAGTTTAATAAAATACGTTTACAGTCGTTGGAGGCAGGCAAACAAAAAGCTAACTCATGCATCAAACAGGAGAAACCCAGGAAATCAACCAACGGACCAAACAAAGAAGAGGAATCTTCAGGGAACGAGCCTGGAGCTTTAAAAGGAACAAACAGAAATGTGGGGAAACACCAGGGAACCGAACCAACCAAGGAGACCGGGGAACAGCTGTACAGACTAAATATACCAGGGAGGTATAAAGATGGCTGGGCACATGTGAAACAAAAAACAGGAAGCAAATAAAGCAAAGGCACGCAGCAAATAATTTCATGAATTAATAAAGTTCAAACAACTGAAAAACAAGTCAACAAGAATTTCCACAAAAGCATTTAAAGGAACAATGTAGAACTTCAGTCACTAGGGGTCTCTCAAGCAACCTAGTTTGATGATGTCGTGAAGCAGCGAGGGATCATGGGAGTTATTGTCCTCAGCACCATTGTTGATGAAAAGGTGCCGATCGTGTTCACAGACGAGAGACATGTGGGATTTAAATTAAATCAGATGCGGAGGGAAATAAAATGTTTGCAGCACGACGACATCAGGTGAAGATCAGGGAGGATCTGACAGTAGATCAGCCGGTGTGGACGTTTCCCCGGGGACAGAGAGATGCCAAAAAAAGTTGGTGAGATTTTTTACAGCGTCATCAGTTTTTGCACAAAGTCGGTCAGTGTGATGATTTATGTGCTGACAGAACTCTGTTATCGCAGCCGTTGCTTGAGGCAACATATTGAGGAGGACGCATTGACCACGATGGATCGCGGCTTTCAAGTAACACGGGCAGAGCGTTTTCCAGACGGGGCATTGATTAAAAGTCGGCCGTAAAAAAAATAGCACGGGCTCTTAACAGTTTTTGAAAACAGGTCGTGCTTGTGTGGTTGTCAAATTGTCAAATTACTTTCAAATGGGAGAATTGTATTTCTGCTCCAGCATGAAACTCTTGAAACTTATGGATTTCAGATTTTCTTTGCTTTCTCGCTCATTTGTTGTGGAGCCATCGACGTCTGTTGTTGGAAAAAGGTGATTTATAGTTTTGTCTCACAGCTTCAGCTGGTCTGTCTTTACTCCTTCAATCATGTGAGTGTGATGATCAATATTTTTACAGAAATGCAAAGGAATAAAAAAAATACATTCATCTAAACTGATATAAAGATGCTTTGTTCCAGATTTAGTAGAACATTTGTTCCAACAATGGAGGAAGCAGGGTTTATGACATGTTCTGCAGCCAGCCACCAGGGGGCGATTAAGATGTTTTGGCTTCACTTTAGGGAGCTGTCATGTCGTCCATCTTAATTTACAGTCTGTGGTTTGATCAGTGGACGATACCGAAGCAGATCGGCCGTGAGTCACGTGTGGCTTCATCTGTTTGTTTGCATCAGGTGAAGTTTTATCTGTTTGATCTTGGCTTTGAGGTTCGGTCACTATCGTCCACTTCAGTGAGTAATTGAAGGTTTACAGGGAGGAAACTGCTTCACAAACAGATTCACACATTTCTGCCTGATGCGACAACACAAGCCGAGCCGAGCGCTATTTGTGGTCACGGTTCTCTCTCTTGGCAATAACGGTGTTAAAGGAGCTGATGACGGAGACACGGCCGACAGCGACCGGAGGTTTTCTGAGCGATGACTGCTGTCAAAGTGGCCGTCACCACGCTCGGTTTAGAGGAGCGCCACACCAGCTCCGTTACTTTCCTCCAGGCTAAACCGCCCGAGGGAACCCCCCCCCCCCCCACAGAGTGAGGCTGACCGGGCCGTCACCTCCAGGTCCATGATGCACTGCAACGCTCTGTACATTTATACTTAAAACCTGGTTTCTCTCTGCGCTGAATCTGAAAATCCACTGCAGACGTGGACTTTGTGAGCGCAGCTGAACTTTGATATTCTCTCACATTCTCCTGATCAACACGGAGCAGCTGAGGTTAGAGCTGTTAAAAATATACCGCGCACAGTGTGAGCACCACCACCCGTTCTTTTTCTGGGCTCGCTCAGGTGGAATAGAAGAGCAATTACGGCGCCATTACCACTCAAAGTCAAATTGCATAAATTGAGTGCAAAGTGATTCATGTTGCAAACTGGGTCAAACACAAACTCACACGGCTGAGCAGGAAGTGAATGGAAATATTCAATAAAGAAGCCAAATGGGAATTCATGGATTCTTTATGCAAAATCTTCATTTTTTACACGTTCACATAAAGTGTGTTGACCTCAGTGTTACGTTTGTTAGCTTTGTTGTGACCTGAACAAACCAAGCTAACAGAAAGTCAAAAACAAACGTCCCATCTCATCATTTTCATCATCACAAGACAAATTAAAGTCTAAAGTTCTCTCCACTTTAACTCTGTTTTGGTCTCCACCAGACCCCGTGAACAATATGAGTATGATAGATGTTAAAAATAAATAAATATAC